AAAAAAAAAAAAAACTAACCCTGATGTGGGGCAGCCTTGAAAACAGCAAGGGCTCCCGGAGGACCTGGAGCTTTTCACCACCTGCTCTGGGGAGGTGACAGCCCGTGGGCCTGTCTGGGCATGGGCGTTCTCAGGAGGACACACAGGATACACCAACACCAGAGCAAGAGGATAGAGTGGAGGAAGCACCATTGTTCAACCTACATCCTTTGGGACTTTGTATTTTATAACATGAGGACAAATTCCCTTTCAACAAGTTAAACTCAGATGGGGAGAACATCCCTGGGCAAGCTCTCTGTGGTCCTCCTGAGCTGGGCTCAAGACCATGATGCAGGCGAGGGGTCATGGCCCCCTCAACTCTGCTGGATGTCTTGGTCACCGTCCTCAGAAGGCATGCCTCAGATTTTGCAGGTGATCCCAGAGGCTTCAGGGAGCCCCCAAAACCCATCCAGGGGCTCCCAGGTCTAGAGTAGCACAAAGAAGAGGGAGGGAGGCAACAGCTATTACAGCTGAGCTCTGCCTGGACCAAGGGGAGGACAACCAGGAAAACACCAGGCCCTTCACGGCTCCCAGCCCGCTGGGAGAAGAAAGCTGGGCTTTCTGAAGGTGTGTTAGCAGTGTGTCTATAATCAAGATTAATCGAGATTAGTCTTTAACTGGCCCCCGAGGTGTTTACACATGCCAGGAGGAGGAAGGAAGAAAAGCGGTTTCTACACATCACCACACCCAGCCAGAACACAAGGATCCAGAACCCCTGAGGCCCTTGTGTTCTGGAAGTCAGAATTTCCAGAGTTTACACCAGGAAAATGATGCACATACCACCCATAAGACTCTCCGAAGTCATGCCAAGAGTCACACCAAGTGGGACCAGCAAACCTTTACAAATGACCTCACCTCAGACTGGGTCAGGCTTTGAGCCAAATGGTTCATAAAACCTGTTTCCAGAGCTCTTTGGACCTTGGAATTGCAGTTAAAAGACTGTGAACTGGGAAGCAGTACAAATACCCACCCACAGTAAAGTGCACATGTTAACCGCGGTCATCTCACAGTGGGTTGCCCACATGCACAGAAACAAAACATAAATACATGGACGATGGCCACACGCAGCCACAAGGTCAGCCTGACCCAACGGTGCCGGTGAGCAAAGGAGGCCAGGTGCCAGGTCTCAGCATGACTCCACATGCGTAAAGTCCAAGAACAGCCTTAGCCAGGTAAGGATGTCGTGAGGGTGCCTTGGGGCATGGTCCTCATCACCAGGGTGAAGGCTGCACAGGTATGTGGACACCAGTCAGGCCTTGCTCTCACATCTGTCTCATGCGCTATTCCCCAGGGAGCAACTTGAGGCTTTATCCAGAAGTGGAAGCTAGAGAAGCCGCCACCCTTGGGACCCCTGGACAGCCCTGTGGAAGTGCTGCTAGGCGGGATGAATGTCTAAAGCAGGGCAGCAAGCTTTTTCTATTAAGGGCCAGGTGATGAGCCTTTCTGTTTTCCAGGCAATATACTCACTGTCTTGACAACTCAGCAGGCACAGGTGAATGGTCCTGGTTGTGTCCCAATAAAACTTTACGTACAAAAAAGGCTGCACTCCGCTGACCCCTGGTTTAAAGTCAAGACTGACACCCTGCATGCCACAGAAGTCAGGTGACAGCGCAGGGTCAGGAGGGTGGCTCTAAGGCTCCTCTCCCAGCTCTGCCACAGTCTCGGTGGCCCTGAGCTGCATTGTGCCTCAGTTTCTTCACCTAGAAAGTGGAGGCTAATAGTGAGGATCTGATGAGAAGCTGTGCGTGCCACAGAGGGTCACACATCCAAGGTGCTGCGCAAACATCAGTCCTCACTCACCAAGACTTGTCCCCAAAGCCACACAGGGTATGCACAGCCTGACCTGCCAGGCCCCCAAAGTTCATCCTCCCTCTCCATGGGGCAGTAAGACCCACAAGGTGCCAGCCAGGCAGGGCCACAGCACAAGCTCTGGAGAGAGGGGCCCGAGCACCAGCACTCCTACAACCCTACAACTCCTACAACGCTGACTCTCCCCCTGGGCCTGTTTTCCCATCCACCAAAGAATTGTTCCTGCGCTATCTACCACCTGGGCTGAAATGACAAAGAGACCAAGGTGGGGAAGGGATGGTAGGGAACAGGAAGACCTGCCCTTATTCTAGGACAGGTCAGCACACAGGGCACTGGAGGGGTTAGAGGAGGTGAGGCAGGCTTACAACAGCTCAGGGACGCTGGCCTAGGGGACTCAGTCCTCATCACCACACTTCCAGGAGGAAACTGTGAAGTCTGAGGGAGGTGGTCAGCAAGGAAGGGGAGGTACCGGCCACACATGGACCCAAGGAGCCCCTTCTGAGCCCCTGCCCTGTGCCTACCCGCACGTGCCAAGCAGGGACAACAATGACACGTGGCGGCCCCACACAGCCACACCTAGCAGGCAGTATAAGCAATCAGGAGGGTGGCTCTAAGGAGTTTCACAGGCACCAGTAATCCTTCCTCGGCGACCAGATGCCACCCCCAGCAGGAGGAATCAGAGGGTCAGAGGGCAGCAGGAGCCCCACACCCTCAGCCAAACAGGTTGGGGACTCCCAAGCATCCAAAGAAAAGACTAGGACCACACAGGCTTTGCTGCAGGGAGCACAGAAAGGAGAGCCCCAAGATCAAGAGAGGCTGCAGGACAGACAACGGGCAGAGACAGCTGGGCCAGGAGGGTCCTGGAAGAACTGCAGAGAACGTGGGAAGCTTTCTGGGGTAACAGAAACCTTCTGCATCTGACTGCTAGGAGTTCTGAAATACGTGCATCTGTCAGCATTCAGAGCACTGGACCTGGAAAGGGAGGATTTTGCAGCACACAAATTATAACCCAAGAAATCTACCTTTAAAAAGTTCTCAGGAAAAAAAGCACGCTGGAAAAGGAGCTGCCTGAGGGCTGGGGCAGGGTCTGATTGGGGCTGGGTCCCCAGCACCATCTGGCCCACAGGAAGCCTCAGGACAGCAGTGCAGCCTGAACAGAGGAATACAGCTGCATCCCTGCATGGGTCTCGCCACCCCCACCTGGCCTCAGAGGCCATGTCCACCACCCCTGCTACTTCCCTTCCTGTGTGTTCACCGCAGCCAGCAGCACGGCACACTCCCCAGGCCTTGGCACCTGCTGGTCACCCCTTCTACAGTCACCCAGCTACTCTCTCGCGCCACTGGTCAGGAAGGATCTGCTGTCTGGGGTCCCCCAGAACTAAACCCCCTCTAACCACTCATCCCTCCTCCCTGGCCCCTTCTCCAATGCTCAGCTGGACAGACACAACCCAATCCTTCACAATAAATGACCATGACTGACTTCGTCTATGACTCGGCCCCAGCCTGATCCCATCCTGGTGTCAGGATGAGCACAAAAACAAGCCAGGGAAGGGGGGCCCCAGTTCCTGGCCCCAACTCTCAAGCGACTCAACCTTGCAGGGCTTCAGTCCCCTCTCCTGTGCTGAGGAAACTGCCCCGCCTCAGCAGAGAGCCTTGAAGATCACAAGAACAGGGAGCCCAGCCTCAGCCCATAAGAGTGGGTTTTGGCATGTCGTGGCCAGGACACCCCGAGCAGGAACTCACAGATGCTAGCAAGAGAACCCCAACAGCAGGATGATCCAACACTCACCAACACCCACCAGCCACCAATTCCCTGGACCTGCCTTGGAGAAACAACCATGGATCAGCCTGACGGCCTTCTGCTGGAAGTGGGATCCATCCCTCCACCCCGGCCCACACCCTCGGCCACTCTGCCCTCACATGAGGAACAGAGGGCCACAGGGGAGATGCTGGGTCCCTGCCGCTCAGAGAATCAGTCAGGCTGGACACCCACCCACTGAGTCCTGCCCTCTGCCTCCAAGCTGAGATCCATGTGTCCGCCCCAGTGGATGGGGATGAGCACACTGGATCACGACCACGGAGAGCACTTTGGCCACATTTGCCAAAATTGACATGAGCACATGCCCCTTGACCCAGCAATTCCAGTTCTAGACAATGGCCAATACAAAAGATACTCATAGCCGCCCCGTTTGTACAATCTGACCGCTGCAAGTGTCTTAAAAATGATCCGTTGACAGGACTAAATTTATTATGATCAAACCACACAGTTGAACGTTCTACAGTTGTAAAAGAAAAAAAAATGTGGTGAATTTTTTCTGTCCTGGAAGGAAACATTTAAGATACAGCCTTGCCTTTCTTTTTAAAGTGATATCCCATTTACATATGATAAAATGCAGTCTTTTTAACACAGGGTCTGAGTTCTGACAACTGAGTAAAGAACACAACTACCTCTGCAACCAAGACACAGAACAGTGCCAGAGCCCCCAGAATTCCCTTGTGCTGCCTCCGAAGCCAACCCCTTCCTTACCCTCTGTGCAAGCACCCTGTCATCAGTGCTCTGTCCTGTAGTTCCACTTCTCCCAGGTGCCAGGCAAAGGGGAGCACACAGTCAGCAGCCTTGCACCTGATCTCTTTCACCCATGACGGGTGCAACACCATCCATGCCTTCCCAGTCCATGTTGACAGCATGGAGTCACCCTCACACAGGGTACCAGCGGGCACACACACATGGCCCCAGAAGCTGAGGACTCAGACGCTCAGAGGAAAAGAACCACGTGTCTGGGCATATGGAAGGATGGGCGCCTGGACCCTCTCAGGCCTTCTGAGCGTGTGATACTTACAAAGGCGCCATTCATTTGAAAACAGATTTAAATCACAAGGCTCAACGCTGCTAACCATTACTTGTTGCCTTTATGAAACAAAAGGAAACATTACACGAAAACAAGGTATTCCAGTTCCTTCTGAGAACTAGAAGTCCCAGGCAGGACACGTCCTCCTGCCTGCCCCCACCCCACCCCTACCCCGGGAGGAGACCAGGGTGCTGACCTTGTAGACGTGCCGCCAGTTCTTGCCGTGGTCGTTGAGCCGCTTCCAGATCATGCTCATGATCTCCGAGAAGGCCACGACGTTGTAAGTAAGGTCGGCGATCTCGGACATGAGGGAGCTGGACGGTCCCCAGGGATCATTGCTCGTGGCCTCTCGAACCTTGATTTCCGCCTCTGAATAGTTGTGGACGATGTTCTTCATCTGGCGCCTCAGGGATGAGGTCGACATGGTGCTCAGCTGCAGCAGCGAGGGGCGCAGGCCCCCCAAGGTGTAGAGAGACGAGGCAACTCTCGGAGGGAGGCCGTGGTAGGTGCTGGCAGGTCACCGCATCTAGGAGGGGGAGAGGGCCTTTGGAAACATGGACGGGACATGGGCTGCCCAAAGCCTGAGCCCCACCTTCCTGGGGCTCCCCACTGCGCTCGGGGTCAAAGACCAGCTCCCAAGTGCAGCCTGGAAGGCTCTGTCCCTGTTAACCTCTGACAGAAAGTCACCCCATCCATTTTTCACTTCCTCAAACATGCCCGCCTCCTTCCTGCTCAGGCAGGCCCCTGCTCAGCCAGGCAGAGTGTGCAGTGGTAGGTGACAGGCCCACATCAGCTCGGCCACTTCCTAGCTGGACCGCAACATCCACACCTGAGTTTTCTCCTCCGTAAAACGGGGCCTGTGGGATCATCCAGGGAGCTGACAGAACCTGGTGAGCAGAAGGCTCTCTAAACATTGGCAGGGCGTTGGGAGTGTCCTGCCTAGGGAGTCCACCTCCTCCTCACCCAGGGATGCCACTCACCCCAGGACTCCACTTAAACTTCCCAGATCCACACCTGATCACCACCTTTCCCTGGGAGCCATCAGAAAACTTAGTGGCCCTCACGACCTTACATTCGTTTGTCTGATTCTGTGGCTGAGGTCGGCCCACAAGCCCCATAGGGACAGAGAACACGTTTGTCTGGGCGCGGTTTTTCCCAAAAGAAAAGCTGGCCCAGAAAAACCATTCAGTAAATGGTGCAGGAAGGCAGTGAAGGAGAGAGGGTGGGAGAGACCTCTGGAGCAAGGGTGGGAGGCAGGAATTCACAGCAGAAATGAGGACACATGGCAAGGGGGCCGATGAAGGGACGGAAGAGAGGGTGGAGAAGGAAGCTGTCCTGGGACAGCAGGAGGACAGGGGACACTGGGAACAAGGCGTCTCAAGGGTGGAGTAAGGCTTAAGGGAGCCGGGTTCCAGGGAGGAGAGATAAGGAACTTGACAGCCCCAGCGCCTGGTCTTGGCTGTGTACAGGAGGTACATTATCTCATGTAACATTGCATGCGGAATTCAAGCAAGGTCACACACCATGAACAGCAGGGCAGATAGGCCCACCTCAACTCCCAGACTTGTACTTTCAAGTTAACCTAAAGAAGCCCATGCCAAGACCCGTGAGGAGAAAGAAGCAGAAGGAGAGCACTAAGCAAATGCCCGTACCAGCCCTCACCCCAGGCCGGGCGCTGTTCCAAGTGCTCTCCACACATTAACCCAGTCCTCAGAACTCCACGGTTCACAGCCACCGGACAGGGGTGGGAACAGACACAGAGAAGCTGGCTCCCCTGCCCGGGGATGCATGCCTCACCCACAAGGGGGATCTTCAGAGACCTGACCTGAGTCCCAGGGGAGAGACGCGGGGTGGGGAGTTGTGAACCAGGGAGGCTGGCCTCAGGCTTGAACTCCGGCCAGAGAGCCAGGCACCTGAAGATGGAGGCAGCAAACACAAAGACAGAGGCCTGGAACAAACAGAGGCCGGGGCCTGAGAACTAAGAGTCCAGGAAAATGGTATACAGTGAAAGGGAGCACAAAATCTCGGCTGAAATACTGCCACATCAGCTCCAGGCAGAGCACACCTCCCTGGGATGCAGACTGCTTAACTCCAGGCTGAGAAAAGCCCCACCGGGCAGGCTTGCTGGTTACATAAATGGGTACACAAGCCTCCCAGATAGTCGGCGCTCCATGACACCGGCCGCTGTTATTGGCAGAGAAGAAGCAGAAGAGTTGGAGAGGGCAGCGGCAGGAGATGCGCCCTTTCCCACCGGGCAGGACTGAAAGCGCATCCGAGGCCCACAGGGCAGCACACCACAGCTGCGACTTCACAGACGCCGCCTAGAATGAGGAGCTCTTCAAGCTGAGTTGACTCAAATAGAATTAGAATGCATACGCCGTGGCAGAAGGCTCGGAGAAGCACTGGAACAACCGACGTCTTACACTCACTGTGTGACGATCTCTAAACACCGTAATAAAGTGAGCCAGAGCTCCGGGTCATTAGGTAGTGACACACTCGCTCTGTGCCAAGCACCACCAGGTACTCTGCGAGCACAGGGACTACCCGAAGTGGGAGCTAGGGAACCCCCATCTCAAAGAGTAGGAAACTGAGGCTGGAGATAGGAAGTCGCCTGACAGCCACCGCACCGCCAGCGAGTGGCGGGGCCTCTGAATCCCCGGGGATTCGGGAATTCGGAAGCCTGGAGGAAGCGGGCAGATGCCAGACCCAGCAAAGTCCGGGACTGGAGGAGACAGGTGCGGGGGCAAGGGTGAGATGCGAAGTCGGGGCGGGCGAGATGTGCCCCGAGGCGGAGGACCCCCGGGAAGCCCCAGGGAGCCGAAGGCACGGAAACACCGGGCGGGGGAGGACCAGGACGGCACGCGACATGGCGAGAGGAGTCCGGGCTCCGGGAGGTGACGTCCTGACGTTCAGAGAGAGAGACACACACACACACACACACACACACAAACAGACACACACACACGCACGCGACGGGCAGAGAGAAAGAGACGCGGGACCGACACACAAGGACCATCGCGGCCACAAGCCCTTCCGCGAAAGCCCCGAGACAGACGCGGCGACCCGGCGGCGCGGAGGC